GTGATTTCCACCAGCTTGCTAACCTAAATGTTTCAGACTTACAACTGTGTACCTGGGCAGGTCCAATGTTATGTAAAACAGGGTAAATCCAAAAATCAAAGCACTCATCAGTTCTATCTTACAATCATTGAATGTGAAAAAAAATCAAATAAGTAATAGATATGTAAAGTTTAAAAATCATTATACATTTTTGAAAAAGAAAATGCAATGTCCTTTTTTACAAATTCAGGATAGGAAATGTTATCTTTCCCCAAAATAATCACATGGAACAGTCTGATTTGTAGGAATGACCAGTCAAAAAATTAGTCATGCACATATGGTGGCAAAGGCAGGTGGCCAGTTTTATCAGACCTCTGATCTATGTGGTGTATCAGTGGATGTAGAAAATATAAGCAATCTTCAGGCATATTGGTTCCTTGATTTTATATAGATTAAAAGGGCAATATAAACTGTTTATTTCAAGCACTGTTTTGTTTTTTGTTTAAATATCTAAAATACACTAGGCCTAAATGTCTTAAAAATAACACTTGTATATTAAAAAAAAATACACCTCTTTTTCTTGTTAGAATATCTTACTTCCCCGAAATTAGGTCTGTAAGAAGTACAGTTGGTAAAAACATATAGATTTCAATGTCTGTTTCAAGTTAGAAAAAAAAACAAGAGTAGAATTATGCCTTGGGTGACTTTTATGTGAAATATTTTCCTTGTGAGAAGAAATGACATGGAATTTCATTTCTGTCCATGGTAGCCTAGAAATCACTGATTGAATGCCATTTCTGTCCCAATTCCGCACAGAATATGTACCAAAATTTTTTACAGGTAATATACTTAATTGATAATCATTTTTCCTATTATCTTATTTAAAAACCCCCAGCTGTGTTCAAAAATTAATAAGCAACATTTAAAAAAAATCTTAATTGTTTGTGATTAAGGTCTAAGATTATAGTATTTTAAATTCTGAGTATTTTGATACCCATTGTGTTAAAGCAAAGAATTACAAATCAACTTCAATAAATTTTATCAATTTTTTTCATGTTTTTGTACTTAGTAATTTTTTCAGCTTTGCTCAGTAATAAAAAGTCTCGCAAAAGTTCTAAGTTTTCACTTATATCTAACATAGAAACTGGTTACTTCAAACTTTACCAGTATAAGGCACTTATAGGTGACTTGTATGTGACTTATATGTTGGGGAAAAAATGGCCAAAAGTGACTTATATGTAGCATATACCTATAACTGACTTAGACAGGTTTTTAGGTGATTTATAAGTGACTTATATGTAACTTATAGTTCTCTTATAGGTCAAGTATAAGTTGCATATAAGAAACATATAAGTCACTTAAAGTCATTTTGGTAAGGGAAATTTTACATTATCAAGGCTCTTTTACTATCAAGCACTTAGAATAGTTGAGCGTGCTGTCCTACCGACAGCTCTTGTTATTCTCATAAACATAATTATTAAGTCAAATAAGTTTATATAAAAGTTATATTACAACAGAAAAGCAAAGCACTTGTTTGAAGGCCACTTACTTTTGGAGCAGACAAGCAGAATTATATACCAAAGATAAATTAGTAATCAGAAATGTATCCAATCGAAAAAAATCGAATCAGAGTGTCTAAAATCGTTGCAGCCCTAAATTATAATAACATAATAAATATACAGAAAAAAAAATATAATAAACAAAAAAATATAATTATTTTTATGGAGGGGGGAGAGCCAATGTATATGAGCGTTAACTGTGGTTAGTGTTATAACAGGATCGCAGTGTATTTAATGGGTTTTCTGGTTGAATGATTTTTGGCTGAATTATCACCCTTGAAAAAAAACAACCAGCATTTTGGCCTGTAATGATTTTTAGCTCACCTGAGCATGCTCAGGGTGAGCTTTTAGGATCGATGATTGTCTGTCGTCCGTCATCCGTCCACATTTAGTTTGTTAACACTCTAGCAGTCACATTTATACCTCAATCATCATGAAACTTTGTCAGAATATCTCAATAATATCTCGGATGAGTTTGATCATGGGTGACCTCCGATGAAAAACTAGGTCACAGGAGCTTAAAAAATTGCAATTTTGATCCAAATATTCTAGAAATTTGTCAGGAAGGTTGTTTTGATGATTTCTAGGTCAAGTTCGAAGATGGGTCATCTCCGGTCAAAAACTAGGTCACAGGAGCTAAAAATAGAAAAAGCTTGTTAACACTAGTGGCTGCAGTTTTGATTCAAATATTCTGGAAATTTGTCAGGAAGGTTGTTTTGATGATTTCTAGGTCAAGTTTGAAGATTGGTTATCTCCGGTCAAAAACTAGGCCACAGGAGCTAAAAATAGAAAAAAAAATTTAACACTAGTGGCTGCAGTTTTGAACCAAATATTCTGGAAATTTGTCAGGAAGGTTGTTTTGATGATTTCTAGGTCAAGTTCGAAGATTGGTCATGTCCGGTCAAAAACTAGGTCACAGGAGCTAAAAGTAGAAAAATCTTTTTAACACTAGTGGCTGCAGTTTTGATCCAAATTACCTGGAAAATGGTCAGGAAGGTTGTTTTGATGATTTCTAGGTCAAGTTTGAATATAGGTCTCCGGTCAAAAATTAGGTCACATTGCCCAAATATAGAAAAACCTTTTTAACACACTAGAGGTCACATGTTTGACTCAGTTGTCATCAAACTTGGCCAGGATGCTTGTCTAAGACATTGCTTGGATGCGGTTAGTGGGTCAGGGGAGCGATCCAGGGCCATCATGGCCCTCTTGTTTGTCTTCTGCTACACAGCAGTTGTAACATGCTTCAAGTAGCTTTAAGGAATAAACTGGTAAATCACCACTCAATGCTAACTAGTCTGACAGGTTAACCACTCAAACTAAATATATTTCAATTTTTATGCTCCTTGAAAAATTTCTGGGGATCATATAGTCGCTGGGTTGTCCCTCTGTACGTCCCTCATTCGTGCCCAGCCCATAACTTTGTTATTTGAACTCGGATTTTACAACTATTTCACAGAAATAATCACCATGTTGAGACGACGTGTTGCATGCAAATTTGGGTCGCTACCTTGAAGGTCAAGCTCACAGCATCACCTTACAGCAAAGTTGTGTCTGGCCGATAACTTAGTTATTTGAAGTCGGATTTTACAACTATTTTACAGAAATGATCACCAAATTGAGACAACATGTAGTGGCAACATTTGGGTTGCTACCTTGAAGGTCAAGGTCACAGCATGGCCTTGCAGCAAAATCATGTATGGCCCATAACTTCGTTATTTGAAGTCTGTTTTTACAAATATTTTAAGAAATGATCACCATATTGAGACAATGTGTCGTGAGCAACATTTTGGTCGCTACCTTGAAGGTCAAGGTCACAGCATGACCTTGCAGCAAAATCGTGTCCGGCCCATAACTTTTTTATTTGAAGTCGGATTTTACCACTATTTTACAGAAATGATCACCATATTGAGAAGAGGTGTCTCGCGCAAGTAGGTAGATAGATCTGTGCAGTGCAAAGAACAGTAACTCTGCCTTGCCTAAGTTTGGAATTATCGTACTTTGAACTTTGTCTTTGACATAACTCTGAAACTACAAAAGATATACTTTTCTGTGTCCAAAAAAACCTAGTCGTTGAGTATCAACTGGTTCAACCGGCTCTTGTTTATCATAAATATAATGATACAAGTTGAAAATATGTCGCATAAAATACCATATGAAATAGTTTCAAACGGGGAAAAAAGTGTAACTGAAAATGGATATTGAATTTCTTATCTGTTCACTTAAAAAAATACCCAGAAATTGTGCATTTTTTATATTTATAAAAAATATTTTATATGGTCTTTTTGTCCTTAATTCTGGGCAATTTAAGCTCGACTTTTAGAAAAAAGTTCAAATATTTCTGCATTCATGTTATTCATTCTACAACAATTACAGTCCAGAAACTTTAACATTGGTCATAAATTTTATGCCCCAAAGGGCGGCATATTAAAATTGCACTGTCTGTCCATCTGTCTGTCTGTGCATCCCAACTTTTGTGTCCGGACTGTATCCTTGTTATGCATTGAAGGAATTTTAAATAAATTTCTACCACATCATGATGATGTGTAACATGTAAGACCCATGTCCCTACCTCAAAGGTCACATACTGTTAGAGTTTAAAGGTGCATGCATTTGTGTCAAAACTGTAACTTTGTCATGCATGGAAGAATTTTTAAATAACCTAGCATATATGTATACCACATCAAGACAACATGTGTCAAACACCTATGTTTCTAGTCACACTTACAGTTTGAAGGAACTTATTCTCATAAGAAGAGTCTGTAGCTTTGCCATGCATTGAAGGATTTGTAAATAACTTGGTATAAATGTCTACTACATCAAGACAACATGTTGTGTCTAAGGCCCATGTCACTACCTTAAAGGTCAAGGTCACACTAAGGTTGAAGGTACAAATTTGTGTACTGACCTTAACTTTGTCATGCACTGTGGGAGTTTTAAATAACTTGGTACAAATGTCTACCACATCAAGAAGACATGTTACATCCAAGAGCCATGTCCCTACCTCCAAGGTCAAGGTGGTAATTCTGCTATGAATAGCACTTTATTTCACAGGAACAATATTAAGCTTTTATTTACTTTTATTCTGTTTACTTTCCATAATATTTTTCTGCAATACTTGTGAAACCTTTTTTGGGGCATCCACCACTATTGCATGACAACTTTTGTTTTATTTCTAAATGAATTGTCTTTACTTCAATATTCTTCTCTGATGTGTTTGGCTTCTGAAATAAGAAAAAGTCGAGCATACTCGACCCTGCCTGGTGGTGGCTCTTGTAAACTTATTCATTTTCAAACCAGTTTCAAATAACAAGAAAAATTACTGCTTTAGGGATCATTATTTTAAATGTCAAAACAAAGTTATCCAGACTTTTCAATTAGAGATATTTTTATGTACAAATCATTGGTATTTGAGATCATGTAAATTAATTGGCACAATGAATGTGACACTACACTAAATGTCACTTTAATAAAAAGTATTTTGCTATGCTTTTCAGGGATGATCCTAAAGAAATGCCAGCATTAGTGGGAGCTAACTCAGCAAAGACTGACTGTATTATTACTATCAAGGGAGACAATTTGTTTGCAGCTGTAAGGTATTTTATTTCTCTCTTTGCAGACGAGGACAGGAATGATTCTTAGCATTACCTTACAGTTCTCTCCAACAATTTTGTAAATCATGCCCTTTGAGACAAAATTGACTCAGCCCTGAAGGTCACTTGTTTACTATGACTTGAGTCTTATGTGGAAATACATGCTTTAATCTCCTTGTATGAAACCACATGACCTTGTGTTTAAATAAATGGCATGTGGCATACAAAAGTTAAATAGAATTATACCGCTCAAGATAAAAAATGGCCATGCCTTGATTATTTTATCCGATTGCCAAATGCCAAGTGGATATTAGAAATGTCCAAACATCTGTGATTCCGTCCTAATTTTGTCTGGAGCATAACAGCGATTTTCTTCAAAGTTCATACAATGACATAGCACATTGGGAGAAAGTGCAGTGTTTAAGAATGATAACTCTACCTTGTCCAGTTTTAGAAATACTCCCCTTTATTAGATTTACTTGGCAAACTTTGTCAAAACTATAACTCCATGAAGTGCTTGAGAGATTTTCTTTAAACTTCATACACAGACATCACACATTAGTTTGAAAGGCAACATGCAAGAACAATAACTATACCTTGCCTACATTTAGAGTTGTTTCCCTTTATCAAAATTGTAAAACTTTGTCTGGAGCATAACTCCAAAAATACTTGAGGGTTTTTCCTCAAATTTCATACACTGACAGAGCACATTTGGTGGAAATGCAGAGTGTGAGTACAATAACTCTACCTTGCTTTCTTTTAGAGTTACTCCCCTTTATTTGATTTAATTGAAAAACTGTTTGAAGCATAACTGTTAAAAGTACTTGAGTGATGTTCTTCAAACTTAATGCCCTGACAGCATATTAGTAGGAAGTGCAGAGTGCAGCATATTGATAGGAAGTGCAGTATGAAGAACAGTTACTCTATCTTGCCTAATTTGAGAGTTATTCCCCATAAGATTCTTTCATGTGAGGAAACTATCCAGCTAGGGTATAGGTGGTCAGTGGTTCTACTTGGATGCCCTTTTTCCAAAGCTGCAAAGTCACCATATATATATGTGACTCAGGGACACTATAGATGTGACTTGGTGCCCATCAGAACAAAATGCACCAGGGTTAATCTAGAACAGAGATTTTGTATGGAAGTCACCACTTTGTTTACATTTCCCTTCACTTATATCAAATTATTTCACATTTAGTGCAATTATAGGCAAACATGCTCTAAATCCATGATTATAATAGTATAAGACACAATCATGTTTATTGTTTCTAAAGAAGAAAAATGGATGCATTCCAGATGTACCTTCTTGCTGTCTGTATGACTTACAAAGTAATGAACGGCAGTCTTAAAGTTTAAAATCACTATGATATATGACTTAACCATAAGTCTTCTGGTAGTAACTGAATCTGCCCATGCAAAACAATTCAATTAATATTTAAGGGCATCTGTGGCAGAGTTGTTAAGGTAATTGGCCTCAAACCACATGCTCCTCATGGCTGTGGGTTTGGTTCCCGATTTTCTTGCTAAGGACTTTGGATTTAAATATGTAAGGAAGATATCCAGCCAGCTTAGGAACATTGATGGTTCTTAAGTCAGGTGCCCATCCTTGCCTGTAATAGTGTACGGATGGGCAGCTGCCAGTTAAGCTGGAAAATTGTCAAATGACCTCAGATTATTCCCCCCCCCCCCACACACACACACACAGACACACCCACTCTCACACATACACCTAGAAATAACAAGAACAACATAAAAACTACATATGAATGCTTATCATACCTGCTTTAAAGGTTTTTATAGACTACATAAATCATAAATTTGTTGTAAAATATTAGTAGATTCATTCTTGGAATGCTTGATTAGGAATGATTTATTTATCCAGTCCATATAGGCATAAAAGAAGTTTAATTTACAGAATAAAACCACATAATGTCAGAAAATAGCTAAAAAAAAGTTTTAAAAAAATAGTCAATATAAGCAAAATTGAAACTTATTTCAGAATGGAAAAAATAAAAAAAATAAAAAGAGCAATATTTATATTTATTGCTGTTGATATGTTGGCATATAGATGATATACAAACTGTATATCTATAAATCATTTTGTTCTCCGATTTCAGTGCCTACATTGATGATAAACTTAAATCTAAAGAAGTCAGTGCGAGCAATAAAACTAAGTTGAAAGAATTATCAGAGAGACTTCAATCATGTGCCAAGAAGAATAAGCAAACATTAGAATTGAAATCTAAGCGAATAAAGGAACGAGAGAAGAAAGTTGTGTGTAAAAGTTTTCACAAATGTGGCATTGTCGTGCCAGTGGACGAAAATGAAGTTGGTTATCGAGAAGTACCGGAAACACCTGGTAAGATAGATGGAGGTGATCAGGAATGAATCTCTTTTTCCTTTTTGAGGTCATCTGAGTAAACTCAGGTGACCTATGGCTATCCATTTTTAGCTTAACTATTTTGCTGAATATTCGAGCTAATGCAGTCACCAATTTGTCGGCATCCCTGTGGTTAAGTTTGTGAGTGTAAGCTGGTATCTCCAAAACTACTGAAGGGAATGGATTCAAACTTCACACACTACTTTTCTGTGATTATTTAACATGATTGGCACTAGCAACTCGATTTGCTTTTTTCCATAATTATGTCTCTCTTTCGACTTAAAAATTTTTGGTTGTAATTTTGCTTGTAAGCTGGAATCTCCATTACTATTGAAGGGTTTGTGCCTTTTTTTTGACAATTTTATGCATTCATAATAATCAAGCAGTGATTTAATACTCGATAAAACGTCTTCATAATTAGCCTTTGTACCTTTTTGGAGCAATTTAAAACTTTAAAAATTAATGCAATCTTTGAAAATCTTCTTTACTCCTGGGCATCAAGCAGTCAAACTGTTGACATGATTGTAATAAGCATTAAGCCCCCTACTAAAAATTGTGAAATTCATGACCCCAGGGTCAGGGGTTCTGGTGCTAGGGCGGGGCTGAGACTGTTGAATATATAGTGAAAGTACATTGTTTCATAAAAAATCTTGTCTGCTCCTGGTTTAGGAAACCAAGTAAATGCATAGTTATGATGAGAGAGAAATAGAATATTAAGGACTAAATTTTAAAGAATGAGCATAGTCACCTTTCACTGCTTCATTCTGCAGACCTTTCTGGTCCTGCATTAATTTTATGACAAAAGCCTGATAGGCTTTCAATTGCTGTCCTTAGCCATGATTGTTAAGGAGGTACATATATACATTTAAATCTTAATAAAGGAGCTCCAGAGAAATTCCAGGGGTATTTTTTTTACTTAATACAATAGAGGCCTTCCCAGATAAAAATTTTTTAAACTTTAAATAGAGCAACTTGGAAACTTAAAATGAAAAAAATAAAAAAAGACAAAATAGAAAAAAAGGTGCCATTTATCCTGATTTGAGTTTTAAGCATTGACAAGCTTTTTCTGTAAAAAACTAAGTGAGAGAATGATCTGAAATTTTGCACACAAATTATTGGTATAGACCAACATCAATGGTATAAATGTCTCAAAAAATAATTTGTAGTCCCTTCATATCAAAAACCTTCAATGAGGCTACCATGCATTTAGATGATGAATTAAATTTTGTTGAACAGTGCTACTTTTCTAGTTAAATGAAAATCATTGCTGAAACAGTGAGCTCCTGGAACAGTCTCTCATCAACTTATTATGTTTTATTGTTTTGCAGCATGTTATTCGATTGGTTTGATCTGCACTACCAAATAGGGATATGGGGCTTTCTAACTGTAAACGGAACCAAAGAGAACAATAGAGTTCATTCTGTAACAATAGAGGAAGGGGTCAATGGCCCTCTAGTAAATAAAATAAAATGAAATAACAATAGTAAAGTCCTTTTATCCCAATTTGGTCACATGTCCATCCGTCCCACATAGTTCCTGATTACTAAATCGTGAAAAGCATTGGCCCATTACCCTAAAGCTTCATAGACCGGTGTTTTGATCTTCACCAGTAGATGACACCTATTGATTTTTGGGCAGAGGGTTCAGAGGTCAAGGTCACATGGCAAAACAGTTTCTGAGCAACATTGTATGCAACTTCCTGACATGCTGAAGAAGATGATAGGCATATTTTAGCAACATTTCTTGTTGCTATTTAATCAGTACTGGTGTAAAATGTTGTGAAAAAGAAATAAGGATGCCAGGCTGAGTTCATTTTATAAGCAAACTTTTTTTTTGCAAATCTATATGTTTACACAAAACCTCCTTTTCCTAACACTTAGTCTCGTTTTCTTTCCGATTTCAGCCGATCTGAAAAGAATGTTTAAAAAGATTGCGGATAGTAAAACCGATGCAGAGCGGGACAAAAACTTTGAGCCACTACAGGAGATAATAACACTTATTCAATTCGCTAATGATGAGTGTGACTATGGTGAAGGTCTCGAACTTGGGATTGATTTATTCTGTTACGGCGGGGAAACTTTCCATACCACAATTCGGCAGTTGCTGTCACTAGCGTACGATCTGTTAAATAGAGAAGAGTATGGACGAATTATTGAAGCTCATTTAAAACATCGGAAACGGGGAGATGATTTGAGCCAGTTATGATTTGTTGTGATTTTTCAAACAGTCTGATTTAGTCTGGCTGCAGAATTTGAAATTAAATATTCTTTATCGCCTGCCTTTGAAGCAACTGTTGGTTATGTTCGGCATAGAAAAAGTAGTTCAGTAGAGTAGTTGTATTGTTAACTTGTAGAAGGTTCTAAGGATAAATATATAACTATGTTTTGACCAGTATATGATGCTAATTTACCAGTATATAAAAAAATGAATCTATTTTGAACCAATGAAAATTTGTGTATCATATTCTTATATGTATAGTATTAAATAGGATCTAGATGTGTAGAAAATATAATTTTTAACCCTGTATTCAAAGATAGCAATCAAAATAAGTTATTTTTATGTAAATGTAGTGTTGGTAAAGAATTGTCCAGTTCTATTTATAATAAATGTGACTTGAAAATGAATGATAAAATTATATGTGAAATTCAATTTCTTGCTTTCCTTTAAACCAATGACTTGATATTAACCAAACTACACTGTAATAATTCTTGTGTGGTCACCTGTCAAGTTGGATACATCTTTAAGCTCTATCTATACGAGTGGCTTCAAAAATTCCTCACTGGGGCATATAGTGTTACCCTGTTCTTTCATTCCGTCATCATCAGTTTCCGTTCATTATCTTAGTAACGGTTGCACACATTCAACTCAAATTTGGCATATGGATATGTCATGAGAAAATACGGGTCAAGTTTGAATTTGGTCATGGTTCGATGATTTTTAACATAGTAATACCCCTTTTACTTTGAAAATGATATGGAATTTTCAGTTTACGTTCATTATCTCCCCAACGGTATTACACATTCAACTCAAACTTCACATATGGATAGGTCATAAGGAAATACAGGTCAAGTTTGAATTTGGTCATGGTTCAATAATTTTTTGCAGAGTTATGCCCCTTTAACTTTGAAAATAATATGAAATTTTCAGTTTCCATTCATTATCTCCCCAACAGTATTACATATTCAACTCAAACTTAAAATATGGATATGTCATGAGAAAATACAGATCAAGCTCGAATTTTGTCATGGTTCGATGATTTTTGGCAGAGTTATGCCCCTTATACTTTGAAAATAATATGAAATTTTCAGTTTCCGTTCATTATCTCTCCAACAGTATTGCACATTCAACTCAAACTTTACATATGGATACGTGAAAGGAATGAGCAGGTCAAGTTTGATTTTGGTCATGGTTCAGTGAGTTTTAGCAGAGTTATGCCAACTTTGAAAATGATATGAAATTTTCAGTTTCTGTTCATTATCTCCCCCAACAGTATAACATGTTCAACTCAAATTTGACATATGGATACGTTAAAAGAATGCTCAGGCCAAGTTTGAATTTGGTCATGGTTCAATGATTTTTTGCAGAGAAATGCCCCTTTCAACTTGAAAATAATATGAAATTTTCAGTTTCTGTTCATTATCTCCCAAACAGTGTTACATATTCAACTCAAATTTTAAATATGAATATGTCAAAGGAATGAGCAGGTTAAGTTCGAATTTGGTCATGGTTCAATAAATTTTGGCAGAGTTATGTCCCTTTCACTATGAAAATAATATGAAATCTCCTCTAGGGTATTACACATTCAACTAAAATTTGACATGGATATGTCAAATCAATGCGCAGGTCAAATTCGAATTTTGTCATGGTTTGATGATTTTTGGCAGAGTTATGCCCCTTTAACTTTGAAAATTGAGGAAATTTTCAGTTCACATTCAATATTTCCCCAACAGTTGTACATATTCAACTCAAATTTTAAATATGGATACGTCATAAGAATACATTGGTCAATTTAGAGTTTGGTCATAGTTTGATGATAGCTCTCTTGAACTTTGAAAAAAAAATCAGAAATTTTGAGTTTCCGTTCATTATCTCCCCAATGGTTGTACACATTCAACTCAAATTTGACATATAGATACATCTTAGGAATAAGCAGTTCGAGTTTGAATTTGGTCATAGCTCAATATAAATAAATAAATGTTTACACTTTTCCAGGTGAAACCTTTATCTACAAATGTCATTTATATTTTATAGAGCATAACTGGAGAAGTCTTCTACCTTTAGATGGAGTTAACTTAGAGGTCAGTTGGGTCAACAGTGCTTCTAATAGATTTTTTAACATATTTGCTCGTACAGCCTTTATTTATTGATAGATGTATTTGATATTTGGTATGAACATAATTTGCATGGTATTCTTCCTTTGGATTGAATTAGGGGCCAAGGTCATGGGTGCCAATAAAAGATTCCTACACATTGCTCATACAGCATTTATTTATTGACTGATGTCTTTCATATTTGGTAGGAATATAACTTGCATGGTCTTCTTCATTTGGATTGTGTTCGGATTCAGTAGGTCAAGGGTGCCAAAAATGACTTCTACACATTTGCTTATACAGTATTTATTGACTGATAATTTCATATTTTGAGAAAACATTCATTGGATGGTCCAGTGTTGGGAGTCACAAGTCAAGGTCATCTGTACTAACAGTAGACATTTAATAAGCCCGTTTGAAAAATGGGACAAATTATAGATTCCCTCCTTGCAGGTGGGTGGCATCCCATTTTTGTCCGACACACATTGAGGGATTTAAACAATACTTCATAGGAATGTTCACCACTATGAGAAGCTGTGTCGTGCACATGAACTAGGTCTCTCAGTCAAAGGTCAAGGTCATACTTAGAGGTCATTGAAAAACGCTTGTCCAGAACAATACGTTTGATACCATGAAGTCAATTTCAGAAAAATAACAAAAATGTTTTGATAAACAAAATGCCCCAACCCACATTATAGTCAGTGACAAAAACAAGTTTATGTATTCACTCAGTTATGAAAAGAAAAACTGCCAAAAAAAATGTAAACAGTTATATAACTCGACAGAGTAATGACATTTTGTTATTGTGAAAAAATGTAAAATTTTTGTGGTATCAGATGTGTAGACCCAATATGTTGAATTTTGAACTGTAAATTACAAAATGAAATCCTAAGTTCTTGGCATTTATATAATTCTACACCATAGCAAAAATGTTTATGTGTGTGTCTACCTATTTATCAGTTTTCATCAATTGTTATTTTAGTGATCTTGTTATGACCTTAGGTTTTTTTAGCAGATTGTTTGTGGCATCAAATGGAAAAACTTATCATAAAATAATGTTTGATATAGATTTGAATTACCATTTATAAGTTATAAAAAATATTCTTAGTTTTATGACAATATTATTTTAGTGCAAACAGTTAAAATAACTGACTGTAAAATCATAGTGATCATGGACGGCTAATTATTGAAAGTACATGGCAGGTATTGGCTACCCTTTAAAATTTAACTGAGTACAACACCCTCATGGTATGTTATTGTGACCAGCTGTACCTGTCTGGTGTTGTGCGTTGTCAACTTCTGTTTCAAACAATTTCTCATTCTAAACCATTGAGCCAATGTTGTTGAAGCAAGGCAGGATTCTTGTTTGCATAAAACTTTTTCAAAATTGTTCGAAGAAATGACAATGGAAAGAGAAAAAAACCTTGAAAAATTTAAGCTTAGATTTTTTATACTGGTTGTCTACCAAGTTCAAATTATAGCCATGGGACCAAAATAATCTCTGCCTTTAGGGGTCATGTACTTGTATATAGTCAAAAAATAATCTGCTAAAACCAGAAAGGCTAGAGTTTAGAAATATGTATAGTAGAAAGTTTTTAATGGTATTACGACCGTAATGGGCACTATAAGGAACTAAAATATTGACATCATAGGTCAGATATATGCCTTAAAGTACACCTGTATGCACAATTTAAACAAAGTTTACAGAAAGGAAATCAAGTTATGGCCACTTTTCTGAACTCAAGGTAGGATGTTATGAGGGTCCTTTTTTAGAAATGAGGAACCTTTAAATAATCTGCAATAACATTCTAATAAAAACTGTTTTCCCATTAATTCTTGGTAAGAAACAAATAGTACGATTCAGCTAACAATTTACATAAGCAAAATTATGGTTTCTACTTGAAGTTTATGAAATCTGTATAAAAATGTTACCCTACCCCACCCATTTTACCACTTGTCTAATTTAAAAAAAATCCTTAAAATTTACCCAAATGAGTGCCTGTTTTCAAAGTTTCCCTAAATTTTAAAAGAAGTATATTGGTTGATCTTGTAAAATATGAAATACTTTTACCGTCTAGTTTTGATTTTATTACACTTTGAAAATATCAGGAACCATATTTATTACTAGATTTAGCATAATTTAGCCAATAAATACCTATATAAATTAAAAAATCAAAATTAAACAATTTTTTCTTTCCAAATGGGACATGAGATAAATTTAAAAAATATATATTTAAATGGAGAGCCGCTAGAAGAGATAGAATCATTCACATACCTTGGCAGTATAGTGGACAAGCAAGGAGGTACAGATGCTGATGTCAAGACCAGAATCGGCAAAGCAAGAGGAGCATTTATCCAGCTAAGAAACATCTGGAATTCAGGAGTCATAAGCAGGAACACCAAGCTTCGACTGTTTAACTCTAATGTCAAATCAGTCCTCCTGTATGGTGCAGAAACCTGGAGATTTACCAAAGCCACCAACCATAAGATCCAGACATTAGTCAACCAATGTCTTCGTCGAATCCTTTCCATCCGCTGGCCTTAAACCATCAGTAATAAGGAGTTATGGAGAAGGACCAACCAGTGTCCAGTTGAAGAAGAGATTCGGAGAAGAAAGTGGGGTTGGCTAGGACATACCCTACGGAAGCCGAGAAGTAACATCACAAGGCAGGCACTAACATGGACACCCCAAGGAAAAAGAAAACGGGGACGACCAAGAAACACCTGGAGAAGGGACCTGGAATCTGATGTCAAGCTGACAGGACAGACATGGGGAAAACTTGAACTAATAGCAACAAACAGGCAGCGCTGGAGAACTATCGTCGATGGCCTATGCACCAAGAGGAGCAAAGGGCTAAAGTAAAGTAAAGTAAGGGACATGAGAGATACATAAATAATGTTAAAAGAAAAAAAGAAAGAAAAAAAAAATGACCCTTCTGGGGATTGAACCCGCGGCCCTCATTTTCAATGTAGTTAACAGTAGTTCTATCCTATTTATGTTAAAGTTATGACTGTTTAACTGAATTTTCTGAACTACAACAACAACAAATTTTGATTGAAAAAGCGTTCTAAAAGCACT